TGGGGGGCTGTGTGTTAAAGGTCTTTGGGGGGCTGTGTGTTAAAGGTCTTTGGGGGGCTGTGTGTTAAAGGTCTTTGGGGGGCTGTGTGTTAAAGATCTGTGTGTTCCAGCACAGAACCAGCTTAAAGGCAGTTTAACACAAATAGAGGGAGAAAGTTTAAGAGTGACTAAAAAGTCTGCAGAGGAGATTCCTGTTCTGCTACAGGATCTGCACAAATCTGAGCCACCTTCCCAGTCCAGAATTGGTTACTCAAACCCATGTTGCTGTAGTAACTCACAGGGCAAACTACTCATCCCACTTTTCCAGGTCACCCCATACCTTTTTCCTCTTTTTTGAAGGCTCCTCAGCCAGGCTGGTCTTATTGTCTCCTCCTGCTGCTGCCACCTCATCCTCCTCCTCCTCTTCTGGGATGAGGCTGTACTTGGTCCCTCCAGGCTGCATGAAACACTCCTTGGCAAAATGACCTGTAAAATAAGGCTTTGAAGGAGCAACTCATCCCCTTTTCCTTTTGCATTTCACACACCTGAACTGCTGCTGAGGATCTTTTTATTGTGACTCACAAGAAGACAAGCTACACTGGACATTTTTTGTCCAAAAATTTCAGCTGGTTTAACGTGCCCTGACTAAACAGGCCAGATAAAACACAACCCAGGTCATTCTGGAGAAATTAGTCAGGCAAAAACTAAGATGTTCTTGTCTGAACAGGACAACTGTAGAGACATGTCTGTGCAGGGGCTTAGAAAGGTGTCTGGGAAAGGTAAACTGGTGTGATTGGCACCTGGTAAATGAGCCAAAGCCACAAATGGAGGGGAAAGCAGCTCATTTTGATTCTTCTCTGCAGATATCAAAGCTGACCTACTAATAGCTGAAGTGGAAACTCAGACAGCTGGCACCTGCCTGCTGTTAGGAGGAGACAGCATCATTAAAATCAGACTGGGAACAGGTAGAATCCTACTTTTTTGGAGTTAAAATAGTATTTTATATATATATTCTTTAAAATAGTATTTTAAAGATGCTTCTCTACCACTACAGAGCCCATACTCATTATTAACCTTCTCCAGAATAGCATGAACCCCATTCACCATTTGCTCCAAATAACATAAGGCAAGTAGGGCACAGCAAAAACTCCTGGGCAAAAAAACTACTTGATGCTTCAGCAACTTTCAAAAAGCTCCTGAAAGGCATCACACAAGTCAGGCTCCCAGTGCTGAACTGGGCAAGACACAGAGTTCAGCAGGTTAAAAGCCCAGCTTGGTTTTGGCTCTAAGACACTGCCCCCAAGCTAAGAGTGCTCCACCAACGAGGTGGGATTTCCATGGATCAGTGTTCACAGTCAGATGACCTGGTGAAGGCCATGTTTGCTTCTTAAAAAGCAAAACCAGAATGAGATCTCAGCTGTGAGGCACATTAACCAAACTCTGCAAGTCCTGAACTGTTCCCAGCAGGAATCACAGACTAGCTGGGGTTGGAAGGGCCCTCTGGAGATCACCCAGTCCATCCCCCTGCCCAGGAAGGGTCACCCAGAGCTGACTCAGGGACATGTCCAGGTGGGTTTGGGATGTCTCCAGACAGGGAGACTCCACACCCTCCCTGGGCACCTGCTCCAGGCTCTGCCACCTCCATGCAAAGAAGTTCTTCCTCATGTTGAGGTGGAACTTGCTGTGTTTTAGTTTCTGGCCATTGTTCCTTCTCCTGTCACTGGGCACCACTGAACAGTCTGGCACAACCTCTGACCCCCCTGAGAGGTGTTTGTGTGGACTGATATTTGTAGGGATTGATAAGATCCCCTCTCAGTCTTCCCTTCTCCAGACTAACCAGGCCCAGCTCCCTCAGTCTCTCCTCAGCAGAGATGCTCCAGTCCCTTAATCATCCTCGTGGCCTCTGCTGGACCCTCTCCAGCAGCCCAAAGGGGATGAGATTTTAAGGAATAAACTTTCATAAAAGGAGTTGAACTAAGTCTTTCATTTTCTGTCTCAAACAAAAGACAGAAAATGTAGTTTTCAAATACAGTCCTT